ACTGGCAGGTTTCAGCAAAGCCCATGAAAACACAGGGGATGAGAAAGTCTGCCCTCGGGAACTTAGAAACCAATAAGCCTAGCAATGGCACACGTGTTCTGAAGGAAAAGTGGCTGTTACCCTTCCAAGTGTTACTTGTCACAGTGCACTCCAGAGCGCCACTCCTAACGGGGACAAGTGTGGTCCACACACTTGAGGTTGTCTCCATCAGCACTGCCAACGCTGACAGTGAGAGCAGATGCCAACAGCACCAGGGATATTCCTTACACAGCGCTGCGCCACACAGACAATGCACACGGCTGAGCCACCGGCTGGCACTGAGGGCAACTCTCAGCCCAGCTGCACAAAGGGATGAGGACCCCAGTCTCTGCTAGTGTGCTCCACAAGGTAACCCAAGACAAGACATCAGGGGTGAGTCTCTGCTCTCTTACGAGCTGGCCAGGTGACTGAGCAAGGGACCCAACTGTTCTGATCACCTTGTCTGCAAACCAGCACAGCACCCAGGCCTCAGCCCCTTGGCACCTTGAGGGCTGCCGAGATGCTTTTGTAAATGGGAAAGTGCTTTGCAAACGTAAGGGATTCTTATTAACAAGAGGAAGTGATAAGAATTCTGCCAACAGCAGTCGACTGAGAGAGCCCACCTTCCCCCCAGCTCGCCCCACACCCATTCCCAGGCACCCAAGTGGCACTGACAGCAGAGAGGTGGCCAGTTCATCAAAGGTGCCCTCCAAACCCCTGCAGATACCAACTGGCTCTGAGAACAATAGTCACACATACGCCACCTTCCCTCCACGTGGCTCAGGGTCTCAGATAGCAGAGAAATGCTAAGTCTCCTCCTCAGTGAGATCAGAGGGGGAAGGAGAGGGGGAAAAGACAGGAGACGCCAAACCGGCAATGACAACCTGCTTCCCCCGAGCCATCCGGATGGGTGAGGAGCAGGCCTGGTGTCAGCCTGCTGCCCTCAGGCCCCTCTGACACACTGCCCCTCAAATGTAACCCTCACGACCTTCTGAGGTGGGAAGCCAGCCCTAGAAGGGTTAAAATAACTTGAAGACAGAACTCTTAAGCCCAGCCTCAGCGGAGAGGGTCTAACTTTGAAACAGGAAGCAGACAGGGCAAACCCCAAGACTCCTGGGCCTAGGGCATCATCCCAGAGGAGGAAAGGCCTGCAAACTCCACCCCTCCAGCACCAGGAGTCTCTTATACAGCAGAACTGAGCGAGAGAGAACAGCAGGTACAGGTCCTTTTTAAGACCTGCAGCCAAACAGACCCCATCACCCAGACCCTGGAAAGGCACTCAGGAGCAATGCTCCCTCCTGTCTGGGGCCATCACAAACCTCCGAGTCCTCCAGAACTTCAGGCCTACAAGGACCTGTGGGACACTGAGCTGAGCAAACAAAGCATGGAGAAGTAAACCTGAGGTCCTGACTGCCTGGAGCCAAGGAGCAGACACACTCCACACACTCCAGAGCCACATGGGGCAAACCTGGAACAGGAAGAGGAGCACACCCAGCCCCCAGCTTCCTGCGCCAAGCCCAGAGGCTTGAGCGGGAGCTCGAGCTCTACGGAAACCGCTCCCCAAGGGGCGATGAAGTTTCCACCACTTGGGGACACTTCGACTACCCTGGTGCGAGCACAGAGCACTTGTGCTGTGGGAAGTAGCTGCGCAGGGCCCAGGGCCCGGCCACGACCCGCAGGCTCCCCAGATGGACATTTCTGGGAAGACAATGCAGTGCCCCAAGGGGGGACAGAAGCTTCTCCATTCTCCACTGTGGATTCCAGTGGTTCACCCAGGAGCCACTGCAGGACAGGGAGGGAGGGCAGCGCAGTACTTTTCCAGAAGCTCGTCCGGGTATGAGGAATGCCGCTCCCTAGGCCTCAGTGACCCACCCTTCTTGAGTATTTAGGTTCAGCTTTCAATATTTTTCACTTAAAAAAATGCCTGACACCTTTTTTTTAATAATTTCCCATGAGAACCAGAAAGTGAGCGAAGAAAGAATTTCATTAGCTCTTAAGGAAGAACAGGATACTGGCTCCCGGAAATGACAGGAGGGGGCTTCAGGACATAGGCCCCCGAGTCACAGCACAAGTCACAAAGGCCAGTCTGAAAATCTTCCCAGGAGCCTGGAAACTAGTCCCCCGGTCATGTGCACTTTCCAGAAAATCCAACAGAAAGCCCTTCAGAAGGAGTGTGGCTACCGGCCCCTGCTGGCCAGCTGGGCTGCACCAAACGGCATTCCCCGCCAGGCTGACCCCTGGCCCTCTTCCCACAGCAACCTCCTCCAGACGCCAGCAGACATTTCAAGGCCTGTTTCCTACTGCTCAGCCAGGGGGCCTGCGACTAACTCTCAACACATGCCTGGCCAGAAGACTAAAAATCGCATGTGAATTTACCAGTAACTATATGTTACAAACCAAACCAATATCTAGGCATCAAAAGACAGACTAGAAGGAAACATACCCCAAAATGGTTTCTTCTTTCCTCTTTTTTTCCAAAATTTCTTTTAATCAACATGTATTTTAATAATGAAAAATCACATATTTTTAAAAATTACTTGAACATAAATAAAATGGATGTACGTCACTACCTAGCTTAGGCAGGAATCTTTGCCCGTATTTACAATAACCTGGCACTGTTTGGTGGGTCCTGCGGTGACCAGTAGCCTACGACGAGCAGAGGTCAAGCAAGACAGTTCATTAAGAAAGGAAGGCTAGAACTTTTACGACAAAACTAAAAACGTCCAAAGTGACAGTGCGGAGTTCATTGTAAAGAAACTGGAGGAGCCTAGAAAAAGCAGGGAACTGTCAATAGAAATGGCATGAAAGCCACCATGACACTGAGCTCTGTGGGGTCAGGGTGGGCTGGACCATGGAACAAGAGCTCAAAGAGCTCTCAGGAAACCAGTTTCCATCTGGAACCTGGAAACCACACAGAACTCACACGACTGGGGCTCAAGCTGTGGAAGACAGAGAGTAAGCGGCAGCTGGCCTGGGGAAACAGGAATGCAACAGCCTGCTAAGAGCTGGAACTCAGAGCAAGACTCAGGTAAGATGTTGGACTGTCCCCCAGGCACAGGCGGCAGGTGCTCCAAGCTCAAGCAGCCGCCAGACCTCGGCCTTTGGAGTTTGGCCAAAGAGAGCCCAGGACAAGTTGGGGGTCTGTGGTGCTGTCTGGCTACCCACTGCTCACACCCTCGCCTGACCCCTGCACTCCACAGCTCCCACGCTGCTACCAGCCCGATGTGCACATTCTCTCATTCGGTCCCCTCAAGCTCAGAGCTGCCCTTTTGGCTGGAATCTGAGGACCTGCATCAGCAGTCGTCAGCCTGGGCACAGGCCCTGAAGGACAGGAGGCTCTGCAAGGCCCCAGAAGCACGTGTGGTCTCAGGGACTCCAGGCCCAGAGCCCTGGCCGCGGCACACATGCTCTTGCTAAAAACCGTTCAGAAAAAAAGCCAGAGTGGGCTGTCCCACCAGGCCCCTCTGCACAACGGCCTCTTTCCCATTTCATCAGGAAAGGACCCTGCCACCCTGTATCTTACCACTGCACACCATCCCAGGGCATAAAAACCTAGACACTCTTGGGGGGGAGGGGGGCAAGGGCAACATACATAACCTAAACATTTGTACCCCCATAATATGCTGAAATAAAAAAAAAAAAACAAAACCTAGACACTCTGGTGTCATGCTGTAAAAGTGAACAGATGTAATGAGCCAGCAGCAAATCCTTGTACAACTCAGGTGGTTTCCAATCCTTTCTTCCAAAAACCTGAAGGACCTCATCAAGTTGTCATTTAATGCTAGATCTTTAAAATAAATTTTGATAGTACATGCCAAAAAATCACATAATGGTCTTAGAGTTCATGGAATTAAACAACACTGCTATAACAAAACTTCCATTCCCATTTCCTTAGTTGTGCAAATAAGGCTATTCAGCACTCATATCTAGAATGAGAACAGGAACAAAACAATACCAAGCCCTGTCTCATTCAAGCAGTAAGTAACATTCACCCACAGGTGCACGGACTAATTACAAAAATATGAAAAACCCTGCCATTATGCAATATAATGCCATATGATAATGCCATTATCATTATGTGATGTGTGTCTAATCAAATTTCACTTAATGTTGAACAGTTTGTCAAAATCTGTAATCTATTATGCTGTTTTGGTCAATTGGATACTAGTAATTGTAAAGACAGTTCAATATAGAAGAAAAATTTTAATGCTCAGAACTGGGTAGGTAACAAAATTTTTTTTATTTTTTAAATTTAAATGTATATACTTCTTTTGTGGCAAATAAGTATTATACAGTGAATAATAAAATACTCTCAAGAATAAAAATACGTAACTTCAGAAAGAGCTTGTTCATGTATTTTTTTAAGTGAATGATGGTGGCTATTCAAATCACAATGTTATTCATAATCCAACACATATGGTTTCAAAAGTAATGATAACAAGTGATTTCAAACTCCCAACGTTTGTGTTAAGCTAGACGTGAACATTTCTAAATGTGAGTTTCCAAATGCAGGTTTCCAGGCCGTGACGCTGCATGTGTCAATGGGAGCAGTGGTCTCCCTTCCACCTGCAAAGCTGCCACCCCACCCGCCCCTGCCCCTTCCCGAGAGCACTGCCAGAGGCCCAGCTCCAGGCCCCTCAACATCCTGTGCACCTCCATCAAAGTCCCCCATAAAACACAGCACCCATCAAAAAAAAAAAGAAAAAAAAACACAGCACCCAAAACAACAGTCTGGAGATTTGGTGGCTGAATAAAGGCAGTAATGGTGTTCCAACCCAAAACGTACTAAAATTCTTATTTGTCCCACAATTGCTTTTAGAAGGCGCTGATGGCACCCACGTGTAACGTGTCTACCTTCTGCTCCATCCAGAGGGAGAACGGCAGCAGGAGCGCTCCCACTCTCCCTCAGGGTTAGGTGGTTACCAGAGCAGACCCGGAGAAGGACGAGGCGAGCATCGCATGGGCCCTCGCAGCAGCCTTACCTGGAGGTGCGTTTTCTCGTGGCCTGGAGTGGCCTCAGGTGTCAGCAGTGTCTCTTCTGCTGACGTTTTCTTCAACTTTTTCTTCTTTTTGTCTGTCACTTCGGAAACTTTTCTCTTCTGTTTTGCCATCCTGCAACAGAGAAACTACATTGCTAAAGACCTAGAAAATAAAAGCTCTTAGGCCATATAGCATTTTTAAACAAAGCAGGGGAGAGCATTTTCCCATTATATAATAAAAGAAATACAAAGGTACTTCAGAAAATATGCAAAATATACAAAAGTTAAAAGAAAGTCAAACCCCCTAGTTTTATCACCTAGGGACAACCAACTTAACATTTTGATGTGCTTCCTTTCTTTTTTCTGAGTGTTTTTATCATAGCTGCAATTATACATAGATTATATATTCTGTATTTCTAACTCAACATGAACACAAAGCTTTTAAAATTAAGAGAGATCCCATTTTTAGTTACAAAATCATAATTTTCCACAGGTGAAGTCTGTCTATTCCCTAATTATTGAACATTCTGAATTATTTTTATTTTCTACTAGGATGGACTAACTCAGACTCCCCCATCGACTGGGGAAGCCACAGTACTACAGAGGCACCCAGGCGTAGAGGACCATGGTGAGCCCAGGATGCCTCATGTGAGCATGCGAGGACCTGAGATACCTCCAGTGAGGTCTATCTTCCCAAGCACAGCAGTGTCCAGAGCTCCAAGCACAAATCAGAAAAGAGGCCAGGTGCGGAGGCTCACACCTGTCATCATAGCACTCTGGGAGGCCAAGGAGGGAGGATCTCTACTAATACTAGAAAGAAATTAGCCAGGCGTGGTGGCGCACACCTGTAGTCCCAGCTACTTGGGAGGCTGAGGCAGGAGGATCACTTCAGCTAGGCTTCCGCCATGGCACTCTACTCAGGGCAACAGAGTAGACTCTGTCTCAAAAAAAAAAAAAAAAATCAGAAAAGAAGCTCATGAAT